AAAAGTGGGTGTTACATTGTACAGTGGCATTAAGTGCCGTAATGTGCACCTCTGCCTACCCCTTCGGGGATAAAAAGGCGTGATGTTATGTTATGTTATGTAAACTATATTTTACGTTTTAGATTATGTTTAATAATTACAAGATATCCTCGCACGGTTTCACCTGCAGCTCGGCTCTTATTAGATGTATCACTTCTTCCCGTGGGCATTTAATATGTTGATGGTAAAAACATACCTATTCTATGTAATTCAACAAACCAGGTTTTAATAGAAACTCTTTGGATTAATTCCACCTGTTCTTCTTTCACATCACATCCAGAACAATAGGTTTGAGAACTACAACCACCATGTGAACATATTTGAAGACAAAGTAAACTTTAACCAAATACATAAGTAGCTGATGTACTTACTACAGAGGAAGCAAGCAGTTGAACATTTGATTCAGGTTCAATAGCTATACCAATCTGAGCGTTGTGACATATCTGTTGCTGACCAAACGCACTTATAAATTTATTTTCACCTGCAAATGAGAACAAAATACAGAAATACTTGCAATTATTGAACATAGTGTATGACAGCTGTTGTAGTATTGCTATATTGTTTTGCATTTAGTGCACTATTTTCATTTATTAGTAAAGGTTGACAAGGAACACAGAATGCCACAGTCCTTCATGGACAAGAAAAAATCTAACAATTCATGCAATTTGTAACAAGACTCAGTAATCATTATTACGTTTAGTTACATCCTGGATGATATTTTTATAAATTAGCAATAATGTTAAACAATTCAATAAAGATTATGTGGCATTATGTGCTTCTCTGCTATACCCCTTCGTGGATAAAAGGCGTGACTGAATAAAAAACATATTTGAAATAATTAAACAATCTTACTTGATAATTCGTGTAGCTTTTTCAAAGTTCCTATTTTAAAGATAGCGGAGGGTTTTGTATTGGAAATATGTCCTAGAAGTTGCCAGTTGGGTGGTGCAGCTGGGTCTGGCCAGCTCCAATACACCATGCCCACGGTACCGGCCGGCAGTGGCGCGACACCCGTTAGGAAGACCACCGCATGGTTAATATTATCCGCTTCCGTGATTGTGATGAGAAACTGAGTCTCAGATAGTGGCGCAAAGTTTGTCTGCACCTACATTCACAAAACACATTTAAAATTGGTTCTAAGATCAATCACTGATGTAAGCGTAAAGTTCTACTTACGAGGCGCCCTGATACAATTAACCCAAATACATTAGACATGTTTTATATTTGTATATTTATATGATAGTCACGATCACGAGTATACTGCAATATACTTAAAATACTTTACTTAATTCTAGATTCTAGAATATTATTCTATCGAATCAATGCTTAGCACACAAAAGCAACATTTTAGTCTATAGTCAGAATTTTAATTCGATTCCAGATTTGACATTGGCTACTGTCATTTTGTGAAATAATGATACCACATATAATAGTGTAGTGATGAACACAAAAATCGATAAACA